TGGGGAGGAGAGAAGAACAGGCTGCTTATATCCCCTCCATCCCATCTCACCTGACGCTCGCAATGGTCACTGCACACTCGTTCATTTCGTCTTCCGTAAGGTCTTCCACGTAGTCCCTGATCCCCGTCCCTTGCATCCTTTGCTTCAGCTCTTGTATCCTGTACATCCTGCTCCTCTGCCGCACGCGGTACGTCTCTGCCTCGTCCTCCTCGTCCTCCTCCTGCCTCCCCTTCACGAGTCGGTCGAGATCGCCTCCCGCCACGTTAAGGAGCTGCCACTCCCAGTCGTCTTTCCGCTCTGCCCAAAAAGTAAGGTGGTGGTGGAGGAGGAGGAGGAGGAGGAGGATTGAGGAGGTGTTGGCGGTTTTGATTTATTTGTGTGGAGGGGAGAGGGGGAGAAGTAGATGGGGTGAGGGCACGGAGGAGAAAGATGGGGGAAGAAGGTCAAGAACAATCAGTGACCTGCGGTCTCGACCTCCGTGTACCCCCCTCGCATCTTCTTCTTCTTCTTCTCCATGTGCTCTTTCAGACCTCGCTCGAACCGAATCACGTCCTCGTCCTGGAAAAGAACGAGGTATCACTCACTCACAGCCCGAGCAGCAGGGTCTGTCCTACATCCTCCGCAACTGCTTCCCCGGCCGTCTCTCTCCTCTCCTCCTCGATCTCGACCGACTCCTGCACGGCAGCAGATCGCAGAGCTTGCATGCTCTCCTTCTCAAAGAGCAGCGAGCCTGTGCCGCGAAAATCTCCCTCCTCCTCCTCCTCCTCCTCGAGTTGTCTCGACCCTGCCGACGAAGGTCTCTTCTGCTGTATCCTCGGCATCTGCAGCCACCATCACCGCATCCCCAGCACAACATGCCTGCAAACCTTAACTCTGGCCGTTCCAGCTGAGAAAGGCCTCGGGTTCTTCTCTGTCTCTGACCTCATCGTTGTCTGCGTAGCTTCCTGTTCCTTTGATTCCACCCGGCTGTCGAGAGGGAAACCGGGCTCTGACGGAGGTCGAAGATCCTGGTACATCCCTCCTCCTGCTCCTGCTCCCTCTGAGTCTCGGGATGAAAGCTGCGCTTCCTCTACACGCTGCTTCTGCTTCTCCGCTTCTTCCCTGTCGGCATCGGTCTCTATCATCCCTGGCACGCCCAGCACGACAGGAGCTGGAGACACGGTGATGTGGACCGATGGAAATTCTTGCTTGGGCATGGAGCGGTCCGGCTGCTGGGGAGGAGGCGGTTGCTCGAGAGTCTGCTGATGCCCATCCTCTTCCCCAAGCATCAAAGTTGCACTCGACTGGACAGGAGGGCCCCTCGCTCCCTCTTCTTCACCAGAACGGACAGACTCCCTTACAATTTCCCCCCTCGTCGACGAACTCGATCCCTCATCATGGCGGGGTTGTTCATCTCTTGCAGAGTCACGATGAGCCTCTGATCTGTCATTCACAGCAGCAGGAGCAGCAATTTGTTTCTGATACTCCTCTCCGTCCTCATCCTCAAGCTCCTCCTCTTCAACCTTCATCTCTTCCACTATGCTCGGGGCGCCATGCTTTAACGATGGCGCCCGCGCAAAGGACTCCGATGCAGCTAGCTCGTCCTCCCCCTCCACGTCCAACTCCTGTATGGCTAGCTGATACGAGAGAGCCTGTGCTGTTGTCCTGTCATCTTGCCCAGCAAGCTCTCGAGCATCGAGGCCTGCGCTACCTGTTTCGTCCACGAAACCAGAAACAAGAGTCGAGCTCTCCTGTCCATCATTCACGTCAAACTGCTCTTCTTCGATCGCCGGCCCATCGCCTCCCTGGTATCCTACTGTATCAAACGGACGAACATCCGTCAGCTCTTCCTGGTCAGGATCCTCTTCCTCCACCGTTGTTTCATGCACCAGCCCTGGAAGATCCATTGCTTGCTAGTTGGTAGCAACGGAACCGTCCCTCAAGTTGAGTGTCTTGGAGTATGCGGATATCAGCATCTTTCACACGATGCTAGCAATAAATTGCCAATTGCATGGCAAACTGTACACAGAAAACCCATCCCACCCACTTCAAATGCTGCCGGGAATGGTCAGACCTTGGCTGACCTCGAATAGCCTAACTTTTTATCATTCAGTCAAATGCTTCGACTATGCTCATTTGTCCTTTTATCAATCGATACCTCACTTCTCAATATCTGCCAGATCGAGAATTTGTATACTAACCTCCTAAACCTCTCCTCAGCTATTGTTTCACCAGCATAACTTCGGCTGGAAATTTCTTTCTCTGCCGCCTTCAACTTCCCACTCTTCGCCTCTCAGACTTGTCTGAAAGGTTATATATCTCACTGTATACTCCTCCCCTTCTCTCTCCCCTTCCCCTCCCTCCCTCCCCTGGTCCTTGTTCGCATCCTCCTTTCATCCGTCGCCATAATCTCAACTCCTCCCGATCAAACACATACCACCAAGGTACCCTACCCAAACCATCCCACCCTTCATCTACCTACCACTACCCTGCTACCTGCAAAGAGGTACCCACTTATCCCCCGAATAAGATCGAAAAAGTACCGGTGATAAAAGGAAATTAGAAACACTATGGGGTTGTACCCCATGAAGAACAGGGTGGTTGAAGCACCCCTACCTGCTGGGATGGTACACCAACCGTACAGCTTATAATGCAAAAAAAAAGATTTTATATCTGTAAAAGAAAAAAAGATGAATGCTGGGGCGGACCCATCATATGGTGGCTTGCAAGCCCGCCCCATCTTCATTTTTTTTTGTTATGCAGCGGCCTCCTCCACCCTACCCACCCCCTTATCAACCTGGTTTTCATTATGAAATACCCTCCCATTTATCACCCTACCCCATTGGACACAATTTTTTAACCCCTACCACCAAATATCGACGGAAAGCGGGGGTGATTGAAGTACCCCTGATGTCAGCATCGAGCTGATTATGAGTCACCTTGCCAAGGTGCTCTTTTGGACGAGGTACCCCACTTGTTGAATTCTGTACCCTAAACTTTCCTAGCATATACCCCACCTTTCTACCTGATTGAAAGAGCCACCTATATACCCCACCCTATCTATTCAGCCATCCACCCCACCTTTCCTCATACCACCCCACAAATGATTCGACCTCGGACTTGTTGATCTACACCCCGCTTTTCTACCCCTTGCTACACTACCCCCTTCATTCCCTCATTTCACCCCAGTCGCCCAGCACCCTACAGTTGCGTCCTCCCATCGACTAACCCGTGCATGCCCCTTTTAACATGGGGTAGGGGTAATCACCCCACCCATCCGAGTCCGTTAGTCTCGTGAGTGTACCCCATTTTTTTCGTATACATGAGGCTGTACCCCCTTTTTGTCATCATAGTACCCACCATATAGAGTCAAGTAAGGCCACAAGCACAAGTCCACCCCTGCGGTCTAGATAGTACCCAAGTGAAATTCTACCGTCCCCTTGCACCCCTTGCCTACGACTGAACCCACCCGTACGTGCGCCTCATCCAAATGGTGGGTTATGTATCTCACCCTCACCCCCAGGTTTGGATATATACCGGTGTGTTTACAAATATACCCCCTACTTTGAAGAAATTTTGAATATGAATTCAGGGGTTATGGCAGTAATAAAGGTGCTTTGTACCCCCTGAATATGTCGCACACCCCCTTTCCCCGATCCTCACCCTTCAACTGCAGTACCCCACCCCTGCGGATGGACACTCTCGGCATGGCGCGGCGCGAGTCGCTTGCATGCTCGGTCTTAGTCTCCCTTCTTCTCCTCGTCGCCTCTGCTGAGGTACTCCCAGCACATCTCCTCCTCCTGCTTCGATGACCTGCACCCCGTGTTTCAAACGATCATTCTTGTCCTCTTTGTTGCCCCTTGTCCCTGATCCTGACCATCCTGGCACTTTTCATCGTACACCTTCGTATCCTACCCTTGAATGGCTTGCTCAACTTGATTGGTTCCCTCTGTACACGCATGTTGAACATCGTGACTCATCCTACTTACCTCGACTTGTGAGATCTCTTCCCCCAGCTTGTCCGAATCTCGAGTCAAGCTCTCAGCTTTGAATCTAACCTCTTGGCAGGCTGTTTCTTTGCAACATTACAATCCGAGAGGATTCTCTGCTCCCTTTCAAGCGAGGCTCGTTCCTTCACGTTTTCGAGTGCAAAGTTTGAGGGGCGGCGAGCAATCCTTGGAGGGACTCCCAATCACGAAGACTCCGGGAGAAGCTTCTACAGGAACTGTAACCCTCAAGCTATCCATCAACTACGGTGTAGATGGTGGAAGCATTGTAGCTGTTGGCCCTGCAAGCTGCTTTGGCAACAATGATATCAATAGAGGTAGCAGATCCCATCTCTTCAAACCCCCGGGTTTCATTGATTATCCTTCCCAGCTCCGCGACTGCAGAGGAAGGAGGGAGAGAAATGGGAAGGCACAGTACAGGTGCCGCTGACTGAGGGAGTTGTGAAGTACCACTACGTTGTGCTCGCTAAGACGCATCGATACGAAGCTCGCATTGCGGACAGATCCATCAACGTCCAAGGCTTGCCTGACGGTGCTAAGGTCTACGTACAGGATTCTTTCCGTTCACCCAAGGTGAAATTGCTTCATTTCCCTCCACGCGTCAGTGACCCTACTCTTCTTAGCCTGCTACTTTGGCCACATCATGCTTCTCGCGTGCAGTGTTTGGAAAGGGGAAGACTTCCAAAACTCTCGAAACGCAGAACCCAGAAGTGGAGCATGCCAAGATCACCTGGAGTCCAAACGGAAAGTCTGACTCTGATGGAGTCACCGTGAGGTTTGCCTTGTTTGCTCCACGTATGGATGCTGGACACAGCGTGTGGGTCCAGGTAGTCTCGGCTCAGATGCTGTTGTTGTCTTCCCTTACTTCTACATCCTCAGGGAAAGCCCGCTGCCATGGGATCATTCAGCGACTCAAGCAAAGTAATGCTAATGTTTGTTTGCCGTGGGTGTTTTAACGTCGAAATACGTAGATTAAGATGGCAAATATTGGAAGTCAAGTGTTTATTGCTCAAGTTGAGGTCCCACGCTCTGAATTTCCATTCGAGTACAAGTATGTCATCGTGGATAGGTGTGAAACTTCAAATTGCAGTTTGCCTTCCTTGTGACTTTGTAAATCTAAGCGATGGCAAGCCTGTTTGTTCCGAGAAGAGCAACAGGAAAATGACTCTTGATGGAGGAGATGCAGGCACGAAATTCGTCCTCAAGGCAAGCGAACCGACAAATCTCTAATCTGGTAGCATTCTAATTGGTTCGGTCAAACAGGATGAGGCATTCAATTACTACAATCCTGTTTTCAAGGCAGCCGGTGTCGCTATTCCTGTTTCTGGGATCAAGACTCGTGATTCTACTGGAATTGGTGAGCCAATCCCGTCAACTTCCAAACTCTATCACATGACCTCTAACGTGCAATGCAGGTGAATTCCTCGATATCAAGAAGATGGCAGACTGGTGCGTCAGATCTGGTATCTGTAGTCGCAAAAAGTTTCTTTGACAATTGACATGGATTTGTCGTCAGGCCTGCAGCTCGTTCAGATTTTGCCCATCAATGATTCCGGCGAAGATCCATCCCCGTACAGCGCTTGCTCTGCATTTGCATTGCACCCCATCTATGTTCAGCCGAAGAGCGTTTGCTCGTATTATTCATCCAAATTTGGTGTGGACATGAGTGGGCCACTTGGATGGGCTCAGGTGAAGTGGAAACAAACGAAGTGAATCAGTTTGATTGGGTCACTGCAGAGTTTGGTGGACAAGCTGAATGGAAACTGGAAGATAGACTATCCCAAGATATTGTACGAGAAAAAGAAAATTCTTGATGGAATCTTCGACGCAGTTGGTAAAGAGAAGGTTGATGTGAAAGACTTTGGAACATGCTGTTTTGACTTTTTCGCTTGAAATCAGATCCTTTCCGACAAAGATTTTACAGACTGGATTGAGAAGAACAGCAAGTGGTTGAAGGTCTAAAGCTCGAAGATTCTTCCGAATGTAACGACTCGTTAGGTGTATGCTGCATTCAAAGTGCAAATGGAAAAGGAAAAGGGCTTCAACAACAAATGGTTTGATTGCACCACATGGTCGAAGAGGGTCACAGAGGCCGAGAACATTGTCAACTCTAACGGGCCAGATTACGATCATGTTGTGCGTGTGTACTTCACTCAGTACCATCTTCACTGCCAGTTGAAGGAAGCTTCAGAGTATGCCGAGGGCCTGGTATTCATGCTTGCCGGATTCGTTTGTTCTTCCTCACTTTCGCTGACAGGGTGTCGCATTGAAAGGAGATTTGCCCATCGGCGTTACTCGTTGCAGCCAGGATGTGTGGGCAGAGCCGAACCTGTTCAAGCTGGACAGGAACGCTGGAGCCCCCGGTGACCCGGAGCAGAACTGGGGATTTCCTCCATACAACTGGGATCAGATGCATCGTGATGGCTGCAGCTGGTGGCGCCGCAGGCTCACCCATATGGAGCAGTATTTCCATGCGTACCGCATCGACCACGTCCTTGGATTCTTCCGTATGTGGGAAATCCCCAAGAGTGGTGGTGGAGGAAGGTACGAACCCAACGGTGGACTTCGTGAGAACGGGCTCCGCAACTTGCGAGCAATCCAGACCGCCTCCAACATGATGATCTGTGGTGAAGATCTGGGTAATGTTCCCCCAGAGGTGAGCGTGCAAACTCGTCTTAACGCTGGATGTTCTGACGACACACAGGTTGGCCCTGTCCTGCTTGAGCTGGGCATCTTAGGTTTGAAGATTCAAAGGTGGTGCGACGGAAAGACGTGGGACTATGGCTACTTGACCGTGGCAGCAAGCTCTTGCCACGATTGCAGCCCTTGCAGGCTCTGGTGGAACGAGAACTGGGGCGAGGCTGAGCGATTCTACCATGAGTTCATTGGGCAAGGAAACATGCCGGGTGGTCCTCCTGACTGGATCAGCCAGAAGATCATCAAGATGCACGCGGAGAGCTCAGCTATGTGGACCATCAACCCCATCCAGGTGAGGAATCTGCTGTGGTGTCAGAGCTGTTGACGAGCTGCACCCTCAAGGATTATCTTGACATGTGGGAGAACATGAGGTCGCAGAATCCCAAGAGCGACATGATCAACAGGCCCGGATCCACCGACGGCTGCTGGATCTGGCGATGCCACAAGAGGATGGAGGACCTCATCGACAACTCCAAGTTCAACGACTTCGTCAAAAACATGCTCAAGGTACTGAACTCAAACCTGATCGAGGAGGAGGAGGAGGAGGAGGAGGAGAAAGATATGGTGGTGGTGGTGAAGGAGGAGAAGAAGGACACTCATGCGACCTGCAGGGAGCAAAGCGTGGTGAAGTTTATTAATTCGAAGCCTTGGATCTCTTCATGCATGATAGTGGTAAACGATTCCTTAGATTCATCTCGTGAGCCTTCGCACGTTGGAACATGAGAGCGTTTTCATCCCCATTCTCCTATCAGAGCCTTGAACGAGCCGATTGCGGTGACACTGCTGTAACTTGAATCTCCACCAGCAGCTTCTCCCTCGCCAGCCTCCCCTCTACACACGCCCTCGTGGGCTTGTTTTCAGCATCTACCCAATCGTTCCACACGGCATTCATCCCATGGAAGTCCCTCTGAATGTCCTTCAGCCATATCATGGCGGTCAGAAGCCTCGACTTATCGCTGCCGGCCTCTGCCAGCAACGCGTCGATCTTCTCGAGGACTCTCCTAGTCTGCGATCGGATGTCCTCCCCTTCATCCGACGTCTGACCCGTCAGGTATACTATCCCTCCATAACACACGATCCCTGAACATCTCGGATCCCCCGTCCTCAGCCTCCTCACCGCCCCTCCTCCTCCCTCACCTCCTCCATGCATTTCCATCTTGTCCAGATGTCGGCATGAGGTCACACTGGGAAATTTTGTAACCGTTTGAAACGGAAGTTCATTGAAATCGTTCAAGTAGGCGGGAAAGTGGCAATGGAACAAGAGGCGGGAGGGAGGGAGGGCAGGAGGTCAGGGCAGGAGGAGAGCAGAAGAGAGGCTGGCTCGAGGGAAAGAAAGGGGGGAGATGTCTCTGTTGCAGCCTCTCACTTCTCCTCCATCTCCTTCAACACCTCCCGCCCACCTCTTGGACTTTTTCGTGCTCCCCCCCATTTCTAGCAAGTTTTGGTGCATGGTTGTGGTAGACTTCTATCGCATCAGTCCTCTTGCTTGCCTTCTTCGTCCATCCTTGCTTTCTGCTCAGCATCGAATCAGTTCGCCTTATCTGAATCGGCTTCTCCAGGAAGCCATCACAAGCATGGGAGACATCAAGAAAAGACTTTCGCAGGGGATCGAGGAAGCGCTGAGGGCTCTGACTAAGAATGCTCCCATCGACAGCATCAGTGAGGCTCTAATCAATCGTCTTGTTCTCTCTCATGACTTCACACCACAGCGAGAAGAAACATCAAGGAGTACATGGCGAAGAAGAAGCAAGTGAGCGAGGACGACATCCAAGGGAACTCGGAATACTTCAAGGACGAGGTTCAGCGCTTGTTCCTCCAAGTCCAAGAGGAGATCGAGTCGAGGTCCAAGGTGAAGGAGAAGAGGCAGAATCCCGATCACCATGGTAGCGAGGAGAAAGGCAACGCCGAGACAGCGAAGAAGCGAGTCAAACCCTCGAAACGAAAGTTAGAGAGCGAAAGCGAGAGCGACTCTGAGGACGAGAGACCCAAAGCGAGCAAGAAGTCGAGGGAGGGCAAGACAAAGAGCAACAAGGCCGACAAGGAGCCTGTGAAGACGGAGCTCTCCAAGGAATGTCAGAGGCTGAAGGAGTTGGCTAAGAAATGCGATCTAGTGGTTCCTGTGAACTGCTTCAAGGGTGAGCCTGATAGTGACGAGCTCGCTCGGAGGATCGGGAAATATCTCCTTGAGCGCGGGCTGCCGTCATTGAATCCTAGCCGTGTGGAGATCGCTGAGTTGAAGCGGAAGGTGATTGGAGGAGTCGGGGGAGAGGGGCTGAAGTTTGTGGGACCAGGTGGCACTCAGCCGAGAGTTGGATGGGATCGAGACGTCCAACATTGTCGTGAGCTCAAGGAGGCACCGTGGGGACGATGACGAGGAGGAAGAAGAGAAACCTCGTCGCCTCATCGTCGATAACAGTGATTCCGATGATTGAGCTGCATAGCTTCATAGAAAAATGTCCCGCTTCATATACTCGCACGCATCGCCTCGATCGTGTAAGTCCTCAAGTCCTTGCTAGAGTTGAAGCCGTCCGTCACCTTGAAGGTCGTGTGCTTGTAGTAAAGGGGGTCTCTCGCTCTCCACAGACTCGCTACGGCAGGATGAAGGTCCTCCAAGGACGGCATCTTCATCTTTTCGAACCTGTGAGCTGTGGAGATCCTCCCGTAGGAGGAGGACGAGGTGGAGGGAGGTCGGACAACGTGTTGTTTCCTCCGGAAGGACGTGGGGTCTTTGTAGTCCTCCTTGGTTGTGCTGCTCAGGGGCTGGAATGACTGCAGAGCTCGTCAGCGGGGCACTGTGCGGCTGACCGTCAGAGGACCTTTCGGTGAGCATCGAAGGGTTGGGTCGTGATGGGGACGTTCTTGCTGTAGCCAGAATCGCGCAGCTCCTAAGATCAAAGTCAACGACTGCTGGAAGGGGCAGCTAGTGCAGACCTCTTGGAGCTCAGGAGTTAGAGGGAAGATGGCGTTGTTTTCATGCAGGTTTTCCAGGTTTCTCATGCTGTTGATGGTGTTGGTGCTCAAGTACTCTTCGTCGCTGCTCCCCAGGCATATCTTCGCCCTAGAGCGCGAGTACCCACCTTCTCATCGAGTCAACGGGCTTCACATCTAACAGCGGCTCCTTACTGGATAGCGCAGCCGATTCGACCTGAGCTGTACTTGGCCTCTCCGGCAGTGACAAGGATGAAGCTGATGGTGAAGGAGCGACCGAATACTGATCTCCATGACTCATCCACAGATTTCTACCAAAACAGAGGTAAGGACAAGGGATAAACAGTGATCACGAAGCAACGGCTATACCTAGTCACGTTGTTTTCTCTCCATCCACTTGAGATGTTTTTCCTTGTCGGGATGAACTCTGCCGCGATCCCTCGATGGCTCTTCCTCGTCACGCTCATCTGTGCTCGTACTCAACACCTTGCACCTTCCTGCTCTTCCCCCGCTGACGTGCATCAGCGACTCTGACCTCACCTGCTGCTTTGGGTCGACCCAGGACACTTGCGAGCTAGTCATGTACTCCGTCGGAAACTGCGGGAGGAGTAAGGAGAAACTCCTTCCTGCACCTCATCCCCTTGTCCCATCACCTTCCGGAAGTTGTTGGGACTGGACGCGGTGTAAAACCCTCCCACGTGATGGGCATGGCCCACCACGGTCCCCCCTGCTAGTCTAAACGCGTCCTCGCTCAGTCGGTGCTCGTTTACCCGCGTGTATGTCGTGCGGAATCGATCTCTCTCTCCTCCCTCCCCAGGTTTCTTCTGGCAGTAAGGAAAGTTCTTGATGTAGCCACTGAATCTCTCTCCTCCACTTGCTACCGATAGGGATCGTTTCCGTGACCCGCCGCTATACGGCGTGCCCCGACCCTCCCTTGACCCAACGATCCCTCTGTCTCCTCTCGTTTCCTCCATCGGGACTAAGGCTGCTCTCTCCCCCCAGGCTCCCTCCGAGTCTCTTCCCTCAGCCACTCTCCCTCGTTCCTCACTGCCTCCTTCACGTCGCTGATTCCCGTCGTCTGCTCGGTTGCCTCCGTCACCCTGCTTGCCTGCCGGTGGCATGCGGCCAACCGCCGGCCCTATACGGCGCGGGGCGATCAAGACGATCGCCAGGAGTACCAGTACAAGGTATCAGTTAAGTTTGGGGGAAACCAGATTTTTAACTTAACTTTGAGTAAAGTAAAGACCAGTAAACTGAACTTGACAGTGACTTCAAGCCGCCGGGCCCGGGGGCCCGGGGTGGCCCGGCCCACTGGGCCAGCCCGGCCCGCGGATTCGAACTAGTCACTGAGAACCGTGCAGCATGACAAGGGCTGTAAGCTTTCAAGGCCGACACCGCGACTAACCTCATGACCTCAGTACCGTAGCTCGGATTCATCATCCTCGTTTTATGGCCCTCAGTGCTCTCCCGCAGCTGCTTGACACTATCCCACGCCGCCGGTCGAAATAGTCTACCCTCCTGTTGAAAAGCCGTGCAAGCTCTCCGAAAAATCTCTTCTCCTCTTCAGCTGCTGTTGAAGATAAAAACACAAACTTTCCCGGTGATCGGTAGCCCTATCTCTTTCAACACTGCTTTCTTGCCAGGTCTTTCAGGAGCTGATTCATGTCACTCATGGAGATCCGCCCTTGCTCAATCAGGTTCAGTCCCTCTGCGGCAACTCTGCTACCGCGGATTCGACCACCTTATCCTTGCCGACGGAAGCAACATTCAATACCTTCATGGACAGCCTCTCAACCAGATACTATGTTTGCACCATCATCCTGCCGCTTTCAATCAATCAAAACACACACCTTTGAGTCATGGCGGACAGTTGGCGCTTGTAGTAATTGGAAAGAAAGATTGGAAAGAAAGATTCCTTTTATCCCGTTCCAACTGCTGCAGCTGCAGCTGCTTGTCATGCTCCATGTCCTTTCGCAGCATGCATATCGCCACGTCAACGCTAGAAGCACCTGTTGCCAAGATTCGTACTCACGCGCGGGCAGCTGAGCAGCTTGCAAGTACTCTGCTTTGGAACCTAGGATCTAAACCCATCCTCATAGACCAGCTGGCCTCGGAAGCCAGTGAGTTCACGTCGATGACGGGACCCAGATATGACAGGACCCAGGCATCACAAGGGGCAAAGAGACTTGCAGACGAAGAAAGGGCCAGGCCTAGAATGAAACATCTTGTACGATTCATCTCAACGGTCTCTTAAATCGCAATGGCGATCCCGCGACTAACTGTTTCGAGGATGAATAACTCAAGAATGAAAATCAGTACAATGCAAAACAGACATTTTATATTCAGAGATACATACAAATTGTCATTCTCTATACTTGTTCGCTTTGTACACGTCTTAACTTTCGACATTTTGTCCTTTCTATCTCTTCTTCCGTAGACCTACAACCAGACACAGTTCGTAGTCCCTGAAATCTAGGCATTTGTCCTGTGAATCCTCCTCGTGTATCCAAAGATCGAGCATGTATACGTTTACGAGATCTAGGTTGGGACCTGCACTCATTCTCTTTGTCCCGTGTTCCTTCTTCAGCGTTGAAAAGCTTCTTCTCCCCGCGTGGTTTCCAAGAATGATTCGCTTTTTTGGTGGTCATACACAAAAGGCAGATTGGGATCGAATTTTTTTGAGAGCTCAGTGCATGCTTTGTTGAATTTCCTCAAGAAATCTTTCTTGTTCAAATGACCTATCAAAGACCAGAGGTTTTCAACGCTGTCTGTGCAGAGCGTCCGTGCATTGAACTCATACTCCTTTTCACCCAACACACCTTCGTTGTTGCTCAAATAACTCTGTATCTGTAGATGTGTGTCCATGGCTACAATCAGTCCTTCGAAGGTTACAGATGACAACCCCCTCATGTGCTTCTTGCCCACCCTCATCCAATCCACATCTCTTAGAAGCCAGGTTCGAGCTCTAAGAATGAGATTTCTTCTTTCAGACTTGGTGAGGCCTCTCTCGTCGAAAGCTCTGTGAAGGCCGTTCATTGCTTCTGCCATTCTTGCTGTTTCAATGTGTCCCTCTGCATTCAGAAGCGATATGGTCTTGCTGCTGAACATTTTTAACATGATATCCACTGATTGAGGGTCAGTGCACCCATCGACTTGCAGCTGCGTTAGCCATGACGAATTCTCCTTGACAATATCAGTGTACGCAGCATGCCATTGTTTAGCCTCTTGCTGTGCAGTCGGGTGTCTCCCCGAGCCAACCGTGTGCCTGACATTCTTCAGTGAATGATTGATACATGGCGCAAAGAAATGTAGCTTCTTTGTTGTTAGAGAGATAACTGAGGGTTTGACAAGTACTCGTTGAATTGAAACCTAATCTTGTTTGGATCAAATTCTTCCAATCCATCTGTAATCAATCGTTCTGTTCTGGTCTTGGCTAATATGTTCAGGCTTACATACCTGCATTGGAGGCATGTCAGTGGTTACCTTGAGTGATAATCGTGTATTTGCTCTTGTAACTCACCAAAAGTGTCATAGTGCGAGGTGCCCCAATGTCTGATTTTCTTACAAAATGACTTGTGCTTTTGCCGATGATTCTCTACTTGACCTCGAATAGTATGCGCGTCTAGCATTTTAGCATCTGCTCCATGTTGAAACGAGGTGAAGTAGTGATGGAAACAATTTTTGAAGCCCTCTGCATTCTGTCCAATGAGGTCAGCATTCTGTCCAAAGAGGTCTCCTAGAAGCGTAAACTTTGCTCGTACATGAGAAGTGTTCATGGTATGCTGGCTCAGCTTGAGATAAATAGACGCTGCTTGTAGCAAGCTATCATGCGTGTCGCTTACCTTCAACGTTTCGTGCCCGATGTTTTGCAGAAAATGTAACAATTTCAGCACCATTGCGTCAGTGAACACTGCATAATTCTGTACAGTTGTCAAGTCGATGTCTTTGAAAGCCCTTCGACAACGTGAACAGGCTTTGATGCAGTGTCGAATGCTTTCCAGAGTTACGAAGATATGAATGTTTCCAGAGTTACGAAGCGTAGTGTTGATTCAGAGATCAGCCTCGGACAGTGACAGGAGAATCACTTACAAACAAGAGGGTGAAGAAAGAGAGATGACTAGAATGTGTATTTGCAATAAAATGTCATAGTAATTCTAGGTTCAAACATGTTTACTGAAGTATGATTGCTTCAACAGATTCAATTCCAGGTACTCAGCACCACTGAAATATTGAAATGAGTGGAGTGTCCAATTAGATAAGCTCAACACCCATCACCCTGATAGATCTTCGCTCGTTTCCTTTCGCAAAACCATATTGCTCAAGAGATCCTTGACCAAAGACTTTCGAAACTTTGAAACACTCTAGATCCTTACGGAGCACGATGAAACAAATTTCTATTCGTTGAACCGGAAATCCTACTAAAACAAGATTGTCAATGAGTTCCTTGAAATATTGTAGTTTCAGATCATGATCTTTTGCTGCGGTTACTTGTACAAACCGTACTAATTTCCTGCTTCTACTAAGAAACACCCCATCATATCCTGGATGGTTGAAATCAGGTGGTCGCACCCAAAAGTCGCAGCTCTGACTCTCCACCACTCCTTTCGTAAGAGGTATCAAGCAAGTCACGACAGGGGCAGCCTGCCAAGCTTCTTGCGCGTCTTCACCTCGCACGTGCAATGCCAAACCTTGGTGATGTACCACCATGAAGAACAAATCTTCAAGCATGAGTCCTTTGGCAACTGGATGATGCAATGTGCAGAAATGCACCAAAGACCGTGTAAATTGTTCACACCCTGTTTGAATGCAAATCTTCTCTGTAAGATACCTGCTTAAGAATACAGTATATTCTGACTTGTCTTGATCCTTGTATATCGAAAAGAGTCGATTGATTGCAGCCCCACTGTACTGCCCTATCTTTGTGGAGAGAGTTTCAAGAAACCCCACGTTTTTGACAGTGTTAGAAACGTCGTCGATAATCTGTTGACTACTCATCTGAAACATGTATCTTGATGATCCTCCTGCATAATAATACTTGGACAGTATTCGATCTTCTCGGCTCAGATTGCTCGAAAATGACCGTTGAGCAACCGATCCTCGAGACAAGTTTGCATCTAATTTCCTTTCAACAGAAGAGTAGAACAGGTCGTCCATCACTGCCTCTTTATACTCTTCCAGTCTCCATGACTCAAGGAGAAATACCTCCACGCCCCAAACCTGATCATCTTCCCACTTCACCTTGTACCTGGTCTGCATCGATGAAATCAAGAGCACTCTTCTATTCTCTTTCTTTTTTTCACGCCATCTCATCAACATATGCTGCAACATTTTGTGCGAGTCTTGCACGAAACCATCCAGTACGAATACATGCTGAGAATCATCATCCACACCATTCAGCAGAGCATACAGAAAGTCATCATTTGTCGTCTGCAATTCAGCTTCATATACAGTTTTCCTTGCAGCGATCCACTGAACAGCCTTTGCAGGATAAGGAGAGATATGCATCCAACTCACCCCCCAGACCTCCCTGTCAATGGAGAGTGCGAATGCAAGGCCTGTAAGAGACTTTCCCGTCCCTGGTGCCCCCAACACCCAGCCCAAACTTCCTGCTTGCATGACTCTTTTTTGCATGAAGTCCATCTGCTCCCGAAGTCCCTTTCTGCTGAAAATTCTCATGCCCTTCTCCTTTACATCCTCGTCCTCAAATGCTCGTAACCCAGACTCCTTCCCACTGTCTGCCGATATATCCAAAAACAACTTCGTTTCATCGTACACAAAACGATCCTCCATTGCATCAATCACGGAAGTCGACTTCATTATTTCTCCTGTCTGTAAGCGACCTCCAGCCATATAATTGTGAATCAAGAATTTCTGCTCGAGCTCCTTCTTCTCCACTTTGAGCTGGTGCTCCTTGGTCTCAACCGCACTCTTCTGCTCGCTCTCCTTCGTCTCAAGTTGTGTACTAAGCCTTCGCTTCTGCTCCTGGTCTTTGCAGCTCTTGATCTTCTGCTCGAGCTCCTTCTTCTCAACCGCATACTTCTGCTCGAGCTCCTTCTTCTCAACCGCATACTTCTGCTCGAGCTCCTTCTTCTCAACCGCATACTTCTGCTCGCGCTCCTTCTTCTCAACCGCACTCTTCTGCTCGAGCTCCTTCTTCTCAAGTTGTGTACTAAGCCTTCGCTTCTGCTCCTGGTCTTTGCAGCTCTTGATCTTCTGCTCGAGCTCCTTCTTCTCAACCGCATACTTCTGCTCGCTCTCCTTCTTCTCAACCGCATACTTCTGCTCGAGCTCCTTCTTCTCAACCGCATACTTCTGCTCGAGCTCCTTCTTCTCAACCGCATACTTCTGCTCGCTCTCCTTCTTCTCAAGTTGTGTACTAAGCCTTCGCTTCTGCTCCTGGTCTTTGCAGCTCTTGATCTTCTGCTCGAGCTCCTTCTTCTCAACCGCATACTTCTGCTCGAGCTCCTTCTTCTCAACCGCATACTTCTGCTCGAGCTCCTTCTTCTCAACCGCATTCTTCAGCTCGAGCTCCTTCTTCTCAAGTTGTGTACTAAGCCATCGCTTCTGCTCCTGGTCTTTGCAGCTCTTGATCATATCATGAGTTTGTGAGACAGACTCGAGCAGCAAGCTCACTAAGTCTCTCTTGCTGTCGTCTGGATCCTCGGTCCTTCGGCGCTTCGGCATGTTTTGGTTTGGCTATTATTTTTTAAAGCTTTTTATTGATTGAAAAGAAAAGGCAAACCGCAGCGAAAGCCGCTACTCCAACCACGCAAACTTGAAAAAAAAGGGGGAGTTTTCGGGAAAAAACAAATTGTCCAAAACCTACTGGAATCCATGTACCTGTCCATGTACCGTTTACTGGAAAGGTATGAGGGTGATGATTGGACGGATGAGGGCGATGACATGCTGAATGAGGGCAGCACTGCGGCAAAACAAGACACTTGACGAAATCAAGGCATTATTGCGGAGTTACATCAATTCTTCTGCTAATGAATAGGTATTCCTTTATTGGCTTATCATAGTCAATGCCATCGTAGTACTCTTGACACTACTCTTGACAGTGGAGCCTACCGGCGGCCCAATTTTGTCCGAGCCCGGCCAGTCACGGGAAAACCGTATATCAGACAACCGTACTACTAGTCCCGTCGGCCATGATAACTCGTTTACGAACTTCTGCATCCGTGACCGTGGGGCCAACAGACCAAATTTGCGCACTGAGTCCTTCGTGCTGATAAACGACTCTTCAGCAGCGGTATCGAGCAATGCATTGAGAACTATGGATTTATCCCCGAACCGAAAGGTCACCAACCTTCGCTACCAAAATGTTAGAAAAAACTTCCTACAAGTATCTCTCGATCCAGTGTTGACACACCGTAAGTGATCCCGTCAAGAAACCAAAGAGCAAGCGTGTGAGAGCAATGCACAATCCAACGGCAATTTACTCCAAATCAACGTTCTACGGTTAGAGATGATTGAAAGAAAAGTAAGTAATCTATTTTCAGACAGAAAGTCAGTGAACATATCCTATCACTCTTCTCCTCTTCAGCTGCTGTAGAAGATAAAAACACAAACTTTCACGGTGATCGGTAGCCCTATCTCTTTCAACTGTTGTATACACAACACGGAGATTGTCAACGACACGAGTAAAGTAAGGATGAAGCCAGTGAGTTCACGTCGATGACGGGACCCAGACTTGCAGACGAAGCAAGGGCCAGGCCTAGAATGAAACATCTTGTACGATTCATCTCAACGGTCTCTTAAATGTCAGTGCTTGCAGAAGACCAAGCTCTCAAGGCTAGCTCAGAAGCTGTTCTGGAGGCCGCGGATGGAGGCGTCAACTTGAACGGTTGACAGTGAGAACTCAGGAGAACGGGGTGGGCCCGGACTCAACGCGTCCGGCGCGGGGGGGGGGGGGGGGGGCCTGGGGGGCCGGGGGCCCCCATGCACTCCTTCGCCGCGGCAACGTCAAGTGATCAGCCGGGCTCAGCGGCCCCGGGCTGCTCAGTGCAGCGAGTCACGCGGCCCGGCGGGGCCCCGGCCCGGTGACCCTGGCCGGGCCGAAGAGATTCAACCTTGAACAGCTTTGCGACGGCGCCCGCAGGAGAGCCTGGCAGAGAGGAGGGAGACTACAAGGAGAGGGAGCTCGCTACGTGCTGCATGCCGTGATGACTGCGTGAAAGCATCTTCCTTGCTCGATCCTGGATCTCCCGTTGAAGTGGAGGAGCATGCCGGTGACGGAGGAGGATCTCGCTCAAGAAGGGCGTGCATTGATCGACCAGGGTGACTACAGTCAGGCACGGTCTTCCCTCCTCGTTGCCATCAGTCTTTTCCCTGACAGCGCGAGGATCAACTATGACTTCTGGAAGGCCTGCTGCCTTGCTCGTGATGACGCCCGTGCCAACTCCCTTCTCGGCGATATCTGCCAGAAGGAGGACATGCTGTCGCAATTCTGCGAGCTCATCCTGGTGGACCTACGGCAGTTCGCTGCGGGGAACAAGGATGCAGGGAACTTTGTTCGATCAGGGATCTTGATACCGAGCAAGACAGACGTGGAGGCTCCGTTGGAGAAGTGCCTCTCTCTGCTCTTCGACGGCAAGGAAGAGGCTGACGATGGTTCAACCTGGAACATCCTGTTGAGCCTCGGCAAGTTGACGGACAACAGCACAGCCCTGTGGTGGAGGGCGTGCGAGTTCACCTTTGAGCTCGACACGAGGGCGAGGGGGGAGATGATGGGAGAGGATCCTTTCTCGACGTTCTGCACCGAGTGGTCCAAGTTGCTGGCGGTGGAGTGCGTCGGCAAGGTGATGAAGGGAGAGGTCCTGAAGGAGGAGGAGCTGGTCAAGGTACAACCGTATATAGAGAGATCTGTCCTGCATCACTTTGGGCTGGGCGACTGGGTTGCCATCCGATCCCTGATGGAATCTTTCGTCGGCTGCTGCCCTCCTGAAGCTTTGAAGAATTTCCCGCTCCGCAATGCCCCGGCCCCAAGGGCGGCCACAGGGGGGCCAGGAAAGCATCCAAACCAGCATCTGGCCAGCTCGAGATTGGTCTCCTCCTCCATAACCAACGCAGTCTGCCAGAGTCTGAGCTCCAAGTCAGGTCTAGGGGACTTGCACCCGGTCGTGGGGTACCTATGCTTGCTCGGCTCGTATCTGGTGGACCTGTTGAGGTACTCCCTCTTCTGTAGGTACGGCAGCGAAGATACAGTGAGCCTGAATGCTACCTGCTCGTCCGTCTCAGAAGCTCAGGAGGTTGCGGACAACAGCCATGAAGGAGCATCCGTGCTCTCGGGATGGTTCTACCTGACCCCCGGCGAAACCCCGCGGGAGTCCGCGGACAAGGAGAAGGAGGGAGTGCATGATTCCGCTGAGCCCTCCGCCCTCGGGAAGAGAGGGCGAGCGGGGGCAGAAGAAGGATTCACTTCTGCTGTTACCACAGCGGGAGCCAACGGATGGAGGAAAGATATTCAGATGTCCCTCTCACGACAGTTGAAGACGCTCTCCTCAATCTGGGAAGCCTTCATGGATCCGGCCATTCAGGTACCTCGACTGTGTCGTGCTGTATCTGGCTCATTCTAATCTCCCTAAGAACCTCGCAAGCGATCATGTGAAGATGCAGAGTCAGTGGGGGGTTGCGTTCTCGCAGCTGAATGACGTCATGATGCACATCGCATGGTCAGTTGATCATAGCCGTCACATTGTTTCCTGTTGACATCTCTATTGTACAGGCACAGGAATGATAAGAAGGACGTCGAAGATAGGTTGACGAAAATGTGCGCATTCTCCTCGCTTTCTCCCATCGAAAAAGTGAGTTTTGCTCAAATTGTTCTTGCGCGGTACAAAGAAACACGATTTGATTTTGATGCTGCTAAAGGCGAGGACTAAACTTCAAAAGATGGTTTTCACTGAATCATCGAGTAGCATGAAGCTGGAAGGAAGTTTGTCGGATTCTGTGCACATTGACTCCTAATCTCATCTTCTCCCTGATCCTTGTCTGTCAGTTGAGGGAAATATTGCAAGAAACGGTTTCCAGTGGCCACGCCAACAAGGTGAGAGGAGCGACGTAGATGAGATCTCGTTCTTATCTGCTTCGCAGCTACAATGGTATGAGAACGAAGACTACAACGACATCTTCACCGTGCATGGGATCAAGGACAGATACACATTCCAACACTTCCCCCTGGTAACTCCTCGCGACCACCAGCCTGTGCTTGTCTGACCTGTTGGCTCTTGAAGACCTGGAGTGAGATTCTACTTCATGCCATCATATGCTGCGAGCAACAAGTGGTTCCCAAGAGCCTAGCGGCTGAATACCTCCTCCTCCTTGCTCAGGTCCTCCTTGACTGTTGCTCATTCAGAGCTGACGTGCGGGGAGCACAGGTCAGATGGCCGAGGCTGGCGGAGATGGCGGAGAGGTGGGAGAGGAGGAGGATAGAAGAGGTGGATGTGAGGAAGGATCATCTGATGTCCTCTCTGCCATGTGCAGGTTTCTGCAGGCAGACATGGTCGATGTGCACTCGCTGGCTTCCAAGGAGACGCTGACACTCGTCTACAACGTGGAGCTGTTGGAGCTCTTGTTCAACGTGCTCACACGGTATGATGGTTGACATGGGAGGAGGGAGGGAAAGTGACAGGAGAGATTCTCAGAGAGAAGGCAAGAGGAAGCAACGAGAAGAAGATAGCAAACACGCGGCAGCTTCTAGAGAAGCAGATGAGCGGCTTGGGAAAGGAGTCAGCTGGGACGTTCACCGTGTCAACCATGCTCGAGAAGCTCCTCGCTCTCAACGGGAGGAGGGAGGTCAGAGAGGAGTGAGCAGAGATGAACCAATGAAACAATTTAATGAGAGTTTTCTTCTTCGAAGCAACAAGCCCCTGATGAGATGCCAACCTGGTTGAATGCCCCTTGCATGTTCATGTCGCATGTCCAAGGAAGTGGTCAGTCATGCTCCAAAAACTTGCTTCCTCATCCTGAACGATAGCCCTTTCTCCATAAAAAAACATCAGCAGAAAGCGCAACTTGCGAGAATGTGCATTCCCAAGTGTGTTCCCATGCCATAACACAAATAGACTATGAATTACTTGTTAGAAGCAAGCGCTTCTGTGAGAGTTGTATACACGTCAACTGCTATCTGTGCCTTTGCCTTCTCAACCTCATCTGTTGCTGAGCTAAGAGCATTTTCGGCCTCGCTCTTGCCAGAGGACACGGCCGACGGATCCAGTTCATCGAGCTGTACAATCTCCACCCCGCACACATCCAGGGTGGAGTTAGCGTGCACAAAAGCGAAGCCGCTGCTAAGGAAGTACTTCTTCACGTCTCCAGACGCGACGGTAACCTCAACCATGCCAGGACGGAGCTCAGCGATGGTGGGAACGTGCCCTGGCAGGACGCCGAACATACCGTCGGCCCCTGGGACGATGACCTGGTCGACCTCGGCCTTGTTGAAGATGGCCTTGTGAGGAGCAAGGAGGTTGAAGGTGAGCTTGGTGGGGATGGGTCCTCCCTTGGCTGCTGCGTCATCGGCGAGGCCGCGGCTTGGGGGGCGGAAGCCGCGAGGAACGCGAACTGCGAGGCGGCGAGCGGCGCGGAGCATGTGGGTAGAGGACAACGGACCCCCACCCCTTTGCTATCCAGGAGGCTCGAGATGGTAGGGTGATGGTCAAGATCGAGTTACAAACTGGGGGTCAGGGGTTGCCATGTCTGGTACGGAGCATTAGTTTGATAGGGGTAGGGGTAGTCCTCGTGGCAAAATTGGGGTGGGTTTGTTATTTTGGGGGGTTGGGGAAGGAATTGGAGGGGTAGGGTCATGGGGGTAAAGGCATTGGAAATCAGGAGGTGGGGGTATATCTAGAAACCTCTACACCTACAATTCACAGGGGTGGGGTAGTGAATGATTCAAAGATAACAACACCCATTTCCAATATTTGAAATATCAGAACAACATTCAAAGAAAAATTCAAATATTTTCAGGAAAATATTGAGAATTTAATTCTATCCAATCGATCGAAGACCGCCACCGACAAATCAAATGAAGTGACCTTGCCGTTACAAATAAGACAAACCGTTAGAACTCGTTGAAACGGTATTCATCCACTCTCTTTCATCACGGTGATGCTGTGACGGCTCCTCGATGGCTGGTCGCTTCGCTCCTGTTGTGTTTCATGGCAGGTGATGAGGATCGACTCGAGCGATCTTGATGTAAAGAGGAGAGGAGGATGCTGAACAGTTCGGTCAGGAACGCTCTACACAACCGGGGAGAGAAAGCAGGGGAATGTGCTTTACCAGACGGCTCCACGCAATGTCATCCTGGGCTCATACCAAGTTCGATAGAATCCATTTCTTCTGATGTTGCTCTGACTCTCTCGAAAGCTTCCAGGTAGAATAGTTTACGTGCCGCAACAGCGTCAACACAACCTTATCCATCTGACACAGGTAGTATGTGATGTGCAACCTGAACCTAGCGCTTAGTTCCTTTTCTACAGATCATTCCTCTCACCCCACCATGGTCTGTCACCCCCAACAGTGTGGGCCAGTCAGACGACCCCAATGAGGTTCGCAAGTGCCTTCGAGGGCCCCAGCATCACGATAACGAGCCGGGTGTGGCAGGGTCAGGACCGGAATGTATTCGGAGGGGATTATCACTTTCCTGACTATCTGAGAAGCCCGAGGATGGGGCGTCAGGTTTGCCGCATGCCAACAGCGAGAAGTTTGTGATGACTTGCTCTAGGAGTATCCAATCGCCTTGCAGCCGCTCCGACGCCCTTATAATTCATGACAAGGCGCTGGATGCTGCCCTCGATCTTGGCAGACATACAAGGTATAGATGGATATTGACATGCTCAATTTTCTCTTGTCAGTGTTCATCTCCTATTTCTTGCCCACTGTATATTAAACGAGAAGAATGAGAGAACGAGAGGGGCAAGTAACAATTACAGTTACATCAAATTGTCTCTTTTCGTCGCACAACAGCGGAAAGAGCTCTTTCAGTTCATGAGAACTCACGCGTGAGCTGTTTGCTGTGTTCTGAGGCCATGGATCACTGGAAGAGGAGTCTCTGATACGCTGAACTGGTTGTCAAACAAGGACAAGAGCTGCCGATGCCGCAAAGGAAGTCTTGAGTTCTTCACCGCAAGCTCCGGCCACCGAGGAAAGTTCACCACCATGACAGTTTGGCTGGCTGCTTGCTTCGCTTCGTGATCAGCCCTTGCAGTAGGAAGGTTGGGGAACTCCTCCTCCCCTGGCGACTCATCCGATGGAGCTGCTGTATCATGGGGGGAGTCGTAGCCCTGTGGCTGACCCAGCAGCTTCCTGCCTTCAACCTGGAGGGCAGGCCGAGGCTGCTCCCTCCCCCCGACCCGGGTGAGCTCGTAATGCCGCGCCTGGCTAGTTATCCTGCTCATCTCCAGCTGGAACTTGTTGGCCTTCTCGAGGTACCTTGCGACTCTCGTGTTGTAGTAGGACCGGAGGTGCGCGTACTTGGAGGGAAGGCTGCTGTACTGACCGTGGTCCAACCAAAGGCTCCTGTTGTCCACATAGTTTGCGATCATGAAGCTGTTTAGCTCGGCACTCTCGGAGAGGTCCACGTCATGGTCGCCCTCCTTCTTGTGGAGGAGGTGGGGCAGTCTCTTGCCAGTGGTAGACCTGTCGTAGGCCTCCCTCAGCAGGTCTTCTGTCGGGCTAGTCGCTCGGGACTGGGGCGAGGTGTCTGCGGGGAGGGGGACGGGGAGGAAGTGGAACGCTCCCTCGTGCCTCGGGCTCCTCTTTTGGATCTTGGGGGAGTTGCGGAGGAAGAATCTGTCGGCTGTTGGGCTGCTAGACCTTGATGGCTGCATGCTGTGAGTGGGGTGTGTAGGGGTGGGGGGGTGGGGGGTGAGGGTTGCAGGGGGGAGAAGGGAAGGAGGATCAGGTGTCAGCAAGTGCAGGTCACAGAGAACGTTCAATGAGTTGGCAGAACAGGATAACGATGAAGTGGAAAGTATGGGTGGTAGAGGTGGAGGTGGAGGTGGAGGTGGTGGAGAAGGTTGTGCAAGGAAGGTGGAGCAGGAGCAGAGGCAGGAGCAGAGGCAGGAGCAGGCGGGACGGTGGACTGGCGCGTGCGCGGGTCGCGGGGGACAAAGGGGGTCAGACAGCAGTTTTTTGTCAAATTGAAAGCACGTCATGCCTGAAAAATGGTAAAGAGATTTTTGGCCCGAAAAATGGTCGGGGAACTGTATCGAGTATCGAGTCAGGAAGTGAAGTGAGAGTGGAGGAAGGAGGGAGAACAGAGAGGGAGGAGCAGGGAGAGACAGAGGGAGGAAGGAGTGAGAGGGAGGAGGGAGGGAGCAGGTGTACAGTCACGGAGCAGGTGTACAATCGACCACTGAGCGGCGCGGCATGGTGAGGGGATAGAGCTTCATTAGCCGAACAATTCTAGTCGTCCCATGACGTAAGACGAGAGCGAGTCCAAGGCAGCCTCATCCTCCTGGGAAGCTTCTCTGAAGTCGGAGGGGATGGAAACCTGCAGCAGGTCAGACAAGGCTCTTCCTCCTGCTCCTCCTCTCTGTCGTACCTCACAGACCTTCTCGCGCGACCTGTGCCCGGCCACGATCTTCACACATCCTCGCTTCACGTTGAAGAGACTGGCAATGAAGGCCACGACCTCCTCGTTTGCCTGCCATGATGTATCAGGCAAGCATCCCCCCCACCCCCCCCCCGCCTTCCCCTCTCAAACTTCCTCCTTTTCCTCACCTCTCCATCCCTGGGAGGGGCAGCTATCTGAACGTCGATGAACCCTGCCCTCCTCGTCCTGATGTCTTCAGCGTTGGTGATCCTCGTCACCTTCGCCCCTGGCTTCACATGCAGTGCTGTCTGCACGCTCCTCTCCTTCCCGCTCTCCTTCCATCGGATCAGATCCGTCAGCCCCTCCAAGCTCAGCGTCCCCATGCCATCCGCAACCCCTTCGTCGTCCTCAGCACAGTTGAACGCCTGCTGCTGCTGCTGCTGCTGCTGCTGCTGCTGCTGCTGCTGCTGTCCCCGAGCGTTCCTGACCGAGTTCGAGGGCTGGCCCGCAGAGTTCAAGGCCTTGAAGTCGTCGTAGGTAGCGACATGGATGCTGTAGCGGGACTGCAGGTTCTTGCAGGCCTTCATGGCCTTGTCCATCGACGAGAACCACACGAAGGCTCGAGGGTACAACGACTGGCTGCTGCTCTGACTCGTGAGTCTGCAGTCAGAGGCCCCGAAAGGAGACATGAAATGCCGCAAGACTTTCACACTGTCCCCGTCGTAGTTCTCGATAACCACCACCGGCTGCTGCACGAAGGCAGTCCTCTCCAGCTCCTCGCGCTCAAGCTTCTCCGCATTCTTCCTTATCTCTGCCCTCCTCTCCTGCTCGAGCCTCTCCCTCTCGGCATTCAGCTGCTCTTCTCGCCGCTGCTCCTGATACTCGACGTACAGCTTGTCGATTCGCTCCCGCAACATCTTCGTCCTCTCCTCACTGATCTCGGTCCTGCACACGGGACAAACAGCCTCCCCTGTCAGGCATCCTTGCGCTGGCATCTCAGCCTTCCCGTCCAATTCCAGCTTCTCGAACGTCTTGACGTACTGGTCGTGTACCCACCTCGCCGCGCACTCCACGTGGAAAGAGTGGCCGCAGACTGTAAGAAAGAACTGCTCGTCCTCGTCGAACGGGCACATGCAGATGGTGCAGTCATCCGAAGGAACATTCTTCTCATTCACAAAGTCCTTCGCCAGTTGCACGAGCTGGAACACGCAGGTCGCCTGTCGAGTCAAGTCACATCCCAGCCATGGCAGGTCCAGCGAGGACACGGATCTCTCCGCATGGAGGCATCGCACGATCAGTATCATACCTTATCGCTGAGCAGCTCCTGGCACAGATCATCCATCTTCATCCTGAGCTCGCTCACGTCCGATTCTGTCAGACCTGCTGCGTCCTCCACCTCTCCTCTCGCGCCAGCGTCCTCCGGGTACCCTAGGGGGAGGTGAACCCTCAGGGACAGTGACGCGTACACCATGGCGGCATCTCCAGCCACATCCGGCATGATCTTCAACCTGATCCACCTGTCCTCACCCTCTCCTCCTCCTACTCCTTCCACCTCGTCTGCATAGACAGAGTTCACCGCCTCCAACTCCTCCTCCACCGCCGCCATTGGCGCGAATTTCACTGAACACTCCTTTTCGAAATATGCCTTGCATTAAATTTACAATTAAATCCAACATATTTCATTGATGATAGAGGGGAATGTGCAATAAAATATAAATATTTAATAAATCTATTTGAGTTTCGATTTCGGGAACACCATGGGCGCAGAGGCGGTACTCAATGCTTGTTCTCCTCGCAACAACCGCTCCCTCCTCTCTCCTCTCTCCTCTCTCCTCTCTCCTCTCTCCTCTCTCCTCTTCCTCCTCCTCCCTCTGACTCTGCCTCTACTCTTGATTTGCCATCCTCTCCTCTTTCTTCTCGTTCGGTCTGGTGTCGCTCCAACCCCTTGCCTGTGCTGTGCACTTTGTTCCTGTATACTTGTTGTATCTCTGCTCTACACTCTACCTTTCCCTGTCCTCTCATGTCCTCCCTTCATTCCATCCCTTCCCGTCGACTGTCATCATTTCCTCTCCCTCGGTCCTTCTCCTTCTCTCCTTCTCTCTGCCTTCCCGACTTTGTTGCATTGCTTCCTCCTGGCTGGGCGTCGGATCTTCGTCATCCATGGCACGTAAAAGCGGGATAACTTGTTCTTCCTAGTCTGTGATACAGAAGGACTTCGATCGGATAGCTGGGGAGGAGGCTGTGGACTTTGACGACGAGTAAGATTTCTCCTGCCATAATCCTGCCATCCCACCTTTGCCACGTTTGAACCTCATCCAACACTTCAGGATCTGGGGGAGAATTTGTGATGGAGAGATTGAGATGCCGCGCAAGAATGTGAAAGACTGGCTGGAGCGAACAGCAGCGTCATGGACGATGCGGGTAGGAGGAGTGAGCACAACTCTTGGACCAACACACTCATCCTGTCCAGCAGTTCTCGGAGAACAGGAATTCAGGGAACTACTGGTACGTTGTCAGCGCAGGTGATGAGCGGGATGGCTTCTCAACTGGTAACAGGCAGCTTCTTCGCCACCTGATACACATGCTAGCTCTCTGCACAAGCGGGAATCATAAGATGGTACGTTCCCATGGTGGGAGCGGGTGAGGGAGAGGCGGACAAGGAGGAGGAGGGTGGGGGGGGGGGGGGGGGGGAGGAGGAGGAGGAAGAAAGAAGTTTGAGCCGCAGCCCGCAGGTGAGCGAGAAGGACGTGCAACGAGCATTGAACCTCGGTGAGGAGCGGAGGGTGAGAGCTTGTCCTGTGACGCAGCTCGTAGTCGTCATGGTCCGTTACACGATCAAGACCCACGTCCAGGAGCTGACGCCCGAGAGTCTCCTGGAGCTCTACGGCAGCCATGTGGGTCGGTGGGGTAAGGAGCCGGGCTCCTGCTGAACCCTCTCCTGCCGGCAGGTCCCGGCATGGCACAAAGAGACGAGCAGGACGGAGTCGCTGCTGCAGGCGTTCTGTGATGCCGTTGCCCTCCTTCTCATGTCGCAAGTGCGGGAGGTGAGACCCCCTGACTTTGCGGGAGGTTCTGAGCTGCTCCCAGGCGCACACCTACTACACCTACTCCCTCCACTTCGAGTGTGCTGGGCTGCTGCTGGAGATGTCGGCCACGCAGATGACGCAGGTGAGGAGGAGGAGGAGGAGGAGGAGGGAAGGTTTGAGGCGTGTTTTGAGCTGGGAACACAGGCGCTGGGGGCTCCTTGCAATCCGTTCCTGGACCATTTGATGTCGAGACGCGAATATGCCCGTCCGTTCATGGTTGGTGGCATTTTTGAACTTACACGCCTCGATGCACAGAAGAGGTCGTGACTTGTTCTGTTTGCAGTTTGCGATGTTCAAGACATGGATAGAACAACAAGCAGGTGCCTCGAGAAGAATGTCCGTTGCTGAGTCTCTTACCTTGTCATGTCAGCTCCTGTTGCTCCTGCAATCAAGCCATACAACCTCTTCGGTCAGTTGCCATGGAGGTGGCGCTGACCAAGGCGTTGCTGACGTCGGTGAAGGTTCCGTCTCCCTCTCCTCCACTTCAAAGCATCCTCCCTGGCAGATCCCGCTTCTGTTAGCAGACTCTCGTGCGTTGCTTGCTGCCTGCTCGCTGCGCTGCTCGTGATTTGGGCGCCTCAGGACAACCGCCGTTGAGCCAACTCTCCGAGAAGTGCTCTTTGCTCATCCTCATCTTCGTGAACTTCTCCCATCCCACGCTGGAAAATCCGTTCAGGTGAATTGGAGCGACGGAGGGAGGAGAGGGCGAGAGAAGGAGGAGAGGAGACTAGAGGAGGAGAGAGCGAGGAGAGAAAGAGGAGAGGAGACTAGAGGAGGAGAGAGCGAGGAGAGAAAGAGGAGAGGAGACTAGAGGAGGAGAGAGCGAGGAGAGTAGGAGGAGGGGAGACTAGAGGAGGAGTGCAGGAGAGGAGTGGGTGAGAGAGGAGATGGTGAACACGAGAAGCGAGGAAGCGAGAAGGGTGCATGAGGGTGAGTAGGGAAGGGGTGGGGGTGGAGGGATGCTGAAGTGAGGATGGAGCATTCAACGTGACGCCATGCTGCTCCTCACCTGAAATGAGTGCGACGTGCAGAGCGGAACTGCAGCAGATGCATGACAGCGACCCGGAACTAGTGGAGGAGGGGAGGGGGGAGAGCTCGCATGTGATGCTGCTGAGGTAGACGCGCTAGCTGCATGCTGCTGTGAGCATGACGTGGGTGAACTGCAGCCATGATGATCAGTGCGTGCATGTTCCTTTCAGCAAGCTGCACGACGCCTTTGCAAAGTGAGAATCTTTGATGGGTGTGCTGAGAACGTGATGGGTTTTGATGCCTCGGGCGCCAAACAGAACTCTGGTCGACGATCGTACGGTGAGTGACAGAGATGATGAGTCACTTGGAGGAGGAGGAGGAGGAGGAGGAGGAGGAGGAGGAGGAGAAGGAGGAGGAGGAGGAGGAGGAGGAGAAGGAAGAGAAAGAGAATGAATGATGGAGATATGGAGATGATGATGATGAAGACGTTGATGAATATTTGTCAGGTTTTGCTATTCTACTACACGATTTATCACAATCATCGCTTCTTGAATTATGTTCTTGCCAAGTCAGAGCCCCAGGTACGATTTGAAACCTTTTTGCAGCGAGTCACGAGGATCGAGAAGCGTCTTGACACCGATGGCTGCGACAGGCTGTCATTGTACCCCTGCTCAAACTTGCGTACGAGGCAAGAAACAAAACCCGTAAGTGTGCGAGCTGTGATTTCAAGGAATGAAAACCCTGTTTGTTCTGCAGCCGAATTGCAATTACATGTTGCTCGTCATATTCCTCATCTTAAGGTAGTTGTTCATTCCTTGCCTATCATTTTTGCACACATAATGTTTGGTTTTCTCACATGTTCTACCAGCAATGACGCGATCTACTCGTCCAACATTCATTCACCCGACTGCATGATGGTTTGAGTGACAGCAAGTGAAGCAACTGTTTCCTTATCATCTTCACTCTCACAGCACAATGTTGCTTGGTTCAAAGACCGCGTGCTAGCAAACATTACAATAGGTCAGCTCCGAATACTCCCCTCGCCTCCCCTCCCTTCTCCCCTGTCCTCCTTTTCCTCCCTTCTCCACACCTTCCCTCCCCTATCATCCTCTGTCCTATCCTCTCCTCTCCTCTCCTCTCCTCTCCTCTCCTCTCCTCTCCTCTCCTCTCCTCTCCTCTCCTCTCCTCTCCTCTCCTCTCCTCTCCTCTCCTGTCCTCTCCTCTCCTCTCCTCCCTCCCCTCTCCTCTTCCTCTTCGAAGTACCCCTCCTGCTCATTTTCCTCCTCTCCTCCCGCCTTCTTCTCCTCCATTCTCTCCTCTCCTCCTACCTTCTCCTCCCTTCTTTTCCTCTGTTCCCCTTCCCTCTTCTCCCCTCCCTGCCTCCTCTCCCTCCCATCTTCCTCCTCTCCTCTCCCTCCCCCTGTTGCATCACCTTCAGTTCTCAATCCTCTCCCGCCTTGTCTTGCATCTCATTTGTCTTGGCTCAGATCCTCTGCAAGCGAAGTGAATACCTCTCCAAGTACATAGAGAAGAAGCCGCAGACAAACGGTCTTCCGCCCTGCCCCCTTGTCGTCTCCCTACGACTACCTCCTCCTCCTCTTCACTCCCCTTCCCTTCCACTTCATCTCCCTCCCTTTCACTTCCTCTCTCTCCTCTCCTTCCCTCCTCTCCTCTCTTTTCCTCTCCTCTCCTCTCCTTTCCTCTCCTCTCCTCCTTCTCCTCCCCTCCACTCTCTTCCCCTCTTCTTGCTCTCCTTGTCTTTCCCTCTCCTCTAACTTCCTCTCAACAGCAAAGAATGGCAACTTGCAGGCCAAACTTTCAGTCTGTCAGGAGATGAAAACTTCATGTCTGGAGGTTTATCTCTTCACCTCCTCTCATCGAACTGATATGCTCTACTAGATCATCAACTCCGCACTGACTTACGCGCTCCCCCGCAACCCTCACATCATATACGCCCTCATTCACAAGCAAGAATGCTTCTCAGAAAATACCTCTCCTCCTCCTCCTCCTCCTCCTCCTTCTCCTTCTCCTCCTCCTTCAACACTTCCTTCTGCTTGTTTCCTCTGCTTCCTGCTCCTATCCCCGCGCGATTCGCCCTCCTCCATCCCCTCCCCTCTTGCTCCTCCTCTCAAAGTTCTCCTTGTGTCCTTCCCCCACCTTCTCTCCCTCCTCTCCTCCTGATTCTCTTCTTCTCTCAGATTTCGGGGGCAAAACAACAACCTTGAAATGACAGACAACCTTGACACTGTCATCTCCTTCTACTCCAAGAAGGTGAAAGACTCCCTCCCTCCTCCTCCCTCCTCATCTCCCTTCCTCCTACCATGTGTCTCACCTGATCCCTTGGTAGTTTTTTTTCTACTTGCTGTCGCATCTCCTCCCTTTCACCTCCTCTCTTCATCGTCCTGTCTCTTCTTCTCGTATCCTCGCCGTGGTCTCCTTCTCAATCTCCTCCCCATTTCCTCACGCACCTCTCCTCGTCTCCTCCACTCGGACCTCAATCTCCTTCT